CCTGCTCGGTGCGCACGCACCTCAACACCGAGGAGGAGTGGACCGCGGCGCTCAGGCGCATGCTCCGCAACCTCAAGTCCTGCCTGGCCTGGGCCTCCCAGAGGCACCGTCCAAAGTGACGTCGGCTTTCGAACGGGTCAGGAGGCGTTTGGGATTCCAAAGACCGATGGCCACATTGAGTATTGATGCAAAATAAAGCCTTGCCCAGGTAAATCAGAAGCGACTGTTTGATATCTCTTCCCGAGCCCGTAAGTGGCTAGTCTGTAAGTGGCTAGGCTGGGTTGTCATTTTTGTTTTTTAGGTTTTTTATTATATTTGTATGCTTGCATTCATTGTAGGGAGTTGGTACATGTACATAACACATCTTCATTCTTTTTTTATCCCCTTTCCTACCTGTCTTTCCTTCTCCTGGGCTTGAACTTGACTGCTGGCATTATAGGCACGCACCGCTATGTCCAGCTTGTCAGTTTTCCTACTATCTTTCTCTTTGCTTCCCCTCCACCCAGTTATTTTAAGGAGTTAAAAGTTCAGAGTGGTGGCACATGCCTGTAATCCCAGCACTAGGGAGGCTGAGGCAGGAGGGTCACCATGAGTTCTAGACCAGACTGGATTATGTAATGTGACCTGTCTCAAAAATAAAATAAAGCAAGAGGACAAAATAGAATACAAGAGTAAGATCCTTGACAAGAAAAGGAGTGAAGGGATACAGGGGGAAAGAACTGAGTCTGGGGTTGAGGAGGTGACAAGAAAAGGGAGGTTTGCAATGTTGTTTTTTGCTTTGTTTTATTACAGTACTGGGCCCTGAACCCAGAGCCTTCACAACAAGCTACATCCCCAACCCATTTTTGTTTTTTAGTTTCTCACTTAAACTGCCAGGGTGGGCTTTAACTTGAGGCCCTCCTGACTCAGCCTATCAGAGTGCTAGGGTTACAGGCACGGGTCACCCCCACACCCTGGGTTTGCCGTATTTGGAGAGAATTGGGCGGCGACTATGCATGGTGGTACTTTTGGGGGCCAGTGAGGGAGAGCAGGTGAACATTTTTATTGGGATTTTTTGTTGCAATATATAGTGTAAAACCCTCCTCTTCATTCCTAAGAATGTTCACTACATTAAAAGAGTGATTAGAGGGCCAGGGATTTATTTAGCTCAGGGGTTTCACCTCCTGCCTCTCAAGCACAGGATCCCGAGCTCAATCCCTGGTATGGCAAATAAATTCAAGAATTTAAAAAGTGACTAGTACGTGTTTGCAGTACACAGGAATATATTCTTTGTGGGGAGTTGTTCCATGAACACAGCCTAATTCTTATCTCCCCTTCCATCTCTTAGTCCTCTTCCAAATTGCAAAATCTCCTTGTTTCTATTATCTAGTTTTTATTTTGCTCTTTCACTTGTACTTTGGGCTTCTGCTAAGGGAGACCATGTGATATCTCAGCTTATGTGTCTCATTTAACCCTCAGCATTATGATCTCAAGGTTTTGTTTGTTTTGGTTTGGTTTTTGGCTATGCTGGAGATGGAACTCAGAGGCTACATCTCCAGCCTGCTTTTACTTTTTCATGAGACAGGGTCTTGCTACAATGCCCAGGCTGGGCTTGAAGCTGCCTCTGCCTCCCTCAGGGTTGGGAGTTCAGATGTGCACTGTCACACCTTAGTTTTTTAGTGTACTTTTGACAGTGGTCACCTTTTGGGGTATGGAGGTTCAACCCAGGGCCTCGACATTGTAGGCAAGCACATTACCAGTGACCTCTATACCTCCAGCCCTTAATTCACTTGTTCATTTATTTTGTCCTGGGGAATCTGTCTTAGGACCTTGCACTTACCAAGCAGGCACTGCGACACTGAGCTACATCCCCCACCCTATTTATTTTTGTGAGACAAGCTCTCATTGTGTAGTTCAGCCTGGCCTTGAACTCACTAAGCAGCCCAAACTGGCCTCAAACTCATTGCAATCCTCCTGCCTCAGCCTCCTGAGTGCTGGGACTATAGGCGTGCACCAGCCACCATGCCCTATCTATCCTTAATTTTATTTTTGAGACAGTCTCCCTGAATTATCTCCTTGTCTGGATGTTGCTATGCTATTGCTTGAGCCTCCAGAGTAGATGAGATTATAGGTGTGCCACCACACCCAATTTATTTTATTTTTTTTAAATGTACTTTACTGGGCCAGGGATTTTAATGGCTCAGTGATTCCGCTGCCTGCCTTGCAATAACAAGGGCTCAAGTTCCATCCTCAGCATCACCAAACAAAACAAAACAAAACAAAAATCTTCTTATTTATGAGGTGGAGGCTGGTCTCAAAACTCCTGGGCTCAACTGGTCACCCTGTTTTAGGCTCGTGAGGACCTGGACCTCTAGCACACGGCCAGAGGAGTTAAAAACCCAGGGCCCTTTCCGCTCTCAGAATAAAACCCCAAATCCTTCCCACAGCTTTCAGCCCTGGGCGAGCTGCCCTGTCTGCCTCTCTCAAAGTACCAGCTGTTTTTTTCCAAAACATGCCAAGCCCTTGCCCTTTGACCTTGCAATTCCAGGAGTGTCCATGTCTTCTAACCAGAAAAAGTTCTCAAATGCTAATTAAGCTTTATAGTCAGATAACGGCCAGGCGGGGTGGCGCAAGCCTGTGATCCCAGCACTCGGGAAGCTGAGGCAGGAGGATCATCACTAGTTCCAGGCCAGCCAGAGAGAGTGGCAAGACTCTCTCTAAAAAACAAGAGATAGCAACAGCAGCAGCAGAACAGAACTTGACAGAGCTCACCACAGAAGTGGAGTTAGTAGACAACAAAAAGTGTGAGATTGGTTTCCTGCTTTCTGATCTAAGCACGGAAGGAATTCTGTCGGGTGCATTAGAGTACAGGAGAAGAACAGTGTTGGAATATTTAGTAGCAAAGCGTATATAAAGAAAAAGATGAGGTTATAAAGCATGCAATTGGAAAACTCAGAAAAGCTTTTAAAAAATAAAACCAGGTATGTGGCCCAGTGGTACAGCACCTGCTTACCATAGGAAAGGCCTTGAATTTGATCTCCAGTACCGAAATTTTGAATAAAAGGGAGCTGGGGGTATAGTTTGGCCTCAACTACATAGTAAGACAGTGTCTCAAAAAAAAAAATCAAAAAATTATGTCTAACATTGCTGTATTCAGACAATGATATCAATATATGAGAGAGGAAAAACGATTGTTTTTTGGTCAAGAAATCTTCACATTGCTGGGGTTTTAGCTCAGTGGCACTGCGACTGCCCGGCAAGTGCAAGGTCTTGAGTTCGATGCCCGGTACAGCACAAGAGTAAGATCCTTGACAAGAAAAAGAGTGAAGGGATACAGAGGGAAAGAACTGAGGCTCGGGTTGAGGAGGTGACAAGGAAAGGGAGGTTTGCAATGTTGTTGTTTTTTGTTGTTTAATCCATGGGACCTGTCATCAAAATCTAAATATTCTGGGGATGGAGGGAGTGAACCATAGTTAGCAGTGAAGTCTTTTGGGTTTTGTTGTTAAAACACTGAAGATGGGCTGGGATTTAGCTCAGTGGTGCCACCGCCTGCCTCCCAAGTGCAAGGTCCCAAATTCGAGCTCCAGTATCACACACAAGCACAAAAATTATTAAAACAGTGAAGAAAAGTTCCCTTTAATCTTCTATTTTCATATTTACTGATATGTAAAGAGAGCTATGCTAATCCTTCCCAGTTTGTTCCTTGCTACATCTCCACTTGCCAGTCTCTGACATGTAAGATCTCTCAACAGTTGCTGTCCTTGGCAGAGAACCTGGTTTCCGCTTATTTTCCACCAAACAGCCTCTCACAGTGGGCCGGCTCAATGACAGGAGCCTGGATCTAGGGCTCAGCTGGCCGGGGCAGTACGACTGCACTGCATCTCCCTCACATTCACTGGAAAGGTGCTCTAAGTAGGGTTGATTTGCATCCTTCCTGATCCCAGCGCTGGGAAAACCAATTCAACAAGCAGATACTCTGAGCAGCGCCACTGGTTAATGTCTGGGGAAGGGCCAGGGCTGCAGTCGGACAAGCCTGGTTTCCAAGCATGGGGCTGCCACCGTAGAAGTAAGTGTCTCAGGCCTCTGAGGATAAGTGTCGGGCTCTGAAGGTGGGCTCTGAAAGACCCCCCTGCAGCTGAGTGAGGTTGGTTTCTCTACACCAGAGTCCACCGGAGTGGATGGAACCGAAAGGGCCCACAGAATCCGTACCACATAAAGATGCCACAAGCTGACAGAATGCCACCTGGCCGGGGCTCTTTTTATTTAATTGTGTCTCTGCTTATCTGTAAGATAAGCTGTAAGATGGGGGATGACAGCTGTACTCAGTCTGAAGGACCATGGAGAGGCTGAAAGGAGATTAATCCACAGCCAAGCCCTTAGGATTGAATCAGCACATAATAAAGGATTAGTACTCCTATTGTTTCTATTCGGCAATGGGCCAACTGTCTAGATAGACCTATGCTACTTGCTTGAGTTAAATAACAAAGACAAAGAGCCGGGCATGGTGGCACACACCTCCTGTAATCCCAGCACTCGGGAGGCTGAGGCAGGAGGAGACAGGGCCTCTCTCACTATAGTTGAGACTGACCTGGAACTCACTATGTAGCCAGGCTGGTCTCAAACTCACAGCGATCCTCCTGCCTCAGCCTCCCAAGTGCTAAGATTACAGGCGTGCACTAGCACACCTCCAGGGATCTGTTTTTGATGAAGCACTAAATATACAAAATTTTAATATTTCATGGTTATTGCTCATAAGTTGAACAGATAAGTGTACAAATAAACAATAGCCATGAGATAGAACAGCTGCTAGAATGTTATTGGGGGCCACCTACAATCAGGCTTTTTGAGTAGAAATTTGATTGAAGAGCAGAATTTTTCTAAGAGAAAAGAGGCAAATTGTTAAAGAGTTATGGGTTAAAACCATTGGAGAACCAAGTAAAGAGCAAGAAAAGACAAAAGCCACAAGGAGAAGGTGATTAGTTGAATAAACAAAGGTCAGAGAATCAAGACTTTCTGACCATGATAAAGTTTTGCTTTTTATTCAGTGGAAGCCATTCAGAAATTTTGGTCAGAGTGATAACATTTCTTGAGACCTTTCTGAATGACAGGATGTTTAGACCATTATTTCATGTTGTGCATATATCCAATTTTAAAATGTGGATACTATTTATCATTCATTTTTTCAGATGAGGAAGTTCAGGTGTGGGAAGGTAAGGAGACAAACTAAAGTTCTACAAAGTTTAGAAAGTGGTTTCAATTCCTCAGTTTGATACCAGAGGCTGCTCTCTTAAACCTTGTGCTATACTGCCTTTATCATTTGTTTTGTTGTTTTTTGAGACAGGGTCTCCTATGTAGTTTAGGCTGGCCTTGAACTCACTGTGGAGCCCAGGCTGGCCTCCACCTAGCAGAGCTCCCTCTGCCTTTGCCTCCTAAATGCTGGGATTATGGGTGTGCACCACCACACCCAGCTCAAAACTTTCTTTTTAAAAACATTTCCATCATAGCATCCAAAACAAAAACAAAGGCTAGCATCCTGCCGGCTGTGGGTTTGATGTGGCTGCTACTACAGCATGGAGACCTCTGTGGCATCCAGGGGAGCCTCCTGAGAGCCCTACACAAAAACTAAAGCACAAGAGGGTCAGCCGTGGACAGAATTAAGTCCACACACCTAGCCAGGACCATAAAGCCTGAGCCTTAGATCCCTGGCCACTCCCTCTGACTATATTATTTTCTTCACTCAACACCCCAGCCCCTCTGGTCTTCCTTCTGTCTTTCAAACACACCAGGCTGCTCTCTCTTCTAGAATATTCTGACCTTTACTGTAACATCTTGACACGGATGATGTTACATCCGTTTGGAGGTGACTTACTTCCTTTGAGAAGCCTTTCCTGACCTCTGCATGTACACTAGACCCCTCAGCCTCGGCCAGTGCTATGGCTTCCCCCACAGCACATGAAACTATCTAAAATAAGTCCTGCTGCTTGTCTTTTTGTCTACTTCACTTTCCTCTCCTAGAAAACATTACAAACATGGGCTTGTCTTTTTTTTTTTTACTACATTGGTCAAGGCCTAAATGGCGATGAAAACAAAATAGTTGTGAGACAAATATTTGTTAATAAGTAAATGAAGACATAAACATTCACCTGAAGCCATTAGCTCTTAGGTGGGACTTGACCCCTGACTAGAGGAGAACTTACCCACACTGAGAGGGAATAAGGACCAAACTGTGATCTTTCTTAGCCTCTTTGGGGATTGAAGGTGGTATTTTGACCGAAAAACTAATTTGTTTGTTTGTTTGGTACCAGGGATCAAACTTGGGACCTTGTGCTTGTGAGGCAGGCAGCGGAAACACCGAGCTAAATCCCCAGCCCCTTGAATAACTGATTCTTTAAATATTCACAGGCGTGCACCTGTAATCCCAGCACTCAGGAGGCTGAGGTAGGAGGATTGCCAGGTATTTGAGCCCAGCCTGGCTACATAGTGAGTTCAGGGCCAACCTGAACCTGCCTCAAAAAACCAAACAACCACAACAAATTCACATCAGTTCAAAAAATGGATTCCTCTTTTAACTTTTGCTATTTATGATCAAAGTAAATATATGTGGTCTGAATGATAAAATGTTTTTCAAGTTTATGCACATACTAGCAAAGAGTATTATCAATCATTCTAGGGGCCAGCCAGTGCTTGGAATTAACAATAAGACACATAATCAAATAATAGGTATTAAAGTTGGTCTTTCAAAATATCCCAATACCCAGAGAATGGTCATAAGGGTTCCTTCTTTATACCTCAAGTAAACATCGGGCCAGCTGATATAAAATTCTCCTTGGACTTAAAGAGAATCAGCAACAGGCTGGGAATTTGGCTCTGGTTCTGCTGCCTACCTCACAAGGGCAAGGTCCCGAGTTCAATCCCCGGTCCAAAAAAAAAAAAAAAAAAAAAAAAAAAAGGTGGAGAATCAGTAACAAAATTAAAAAATTCTAAAATATGTGAAAAAGCAAGTTCACAGGAATAATTTTTTAAAAGTAGCTTCCTTTAGAGGAATCAAGAATGATATGAATATCAAATCCACTCAAGGCGTACAGAGCTAAATGAATGTCCTTAAAACGCAGCTTTAGTGAGCTACATGAATATTTCAGTAATGCCTCTCCTTGGGGGCAATGTCACACCCTTTTTAGTATGTCAAGTGACAGTAGATGTGCCTTTGATAGGGAGTATAGTATTTGCAAACAAATATCTCTACAAATGAAGATTGAATGTTAATGTTACTAATTAAGTTGGAGTATATATTATTTGGTGATCAAACATTAGATACAACTAAAATATTTAAGGTCCTTTAGGTTATAAATTTCCTTCATGCAGCTGCCATAAACAAGTTACAAAATGATTCTAGCGATGGTTTTATCACTGGGATAAATGTAAATCCTCCTAAAGTGATGATTCTAAAGAGTAATTTCATTTGAATAGCTTCATTCTAGTGTGTTTACTAAAATGAGTAAATGACAGAATACGTTACTTAACTCGTTTATAATCACTTCATGTTCTAGTTATTTTCATAGCTAAGACTTCATGAATTCTTTAAATTAAAAATTACAGTGTACAAAGTAAAATCAGCAACCATTTAGATAGTTTCCATAACTTCCTCCAAGAAAGACTCTGATTTTTAATGATTTACTTTGGCTTAACAAATTCATTTTCTACCAGCATCGCTATTGCCAGAATTTTTGTTTGTTTTTGTACGGGGGATCAAACTTGGGACTCTGAGCTTGCAAGGCAGGCAGGCGGCACCACTGAGCTACATCCTCGGCCTATACCAGAAATTACTGCAGACCAACAGAAGATCTACGTTGGACAGCACTGCTGGTCTGTCAGGTGAGTAGCACAGTGATTGGTCGACTGGTAAGCAGTTATCAACAGCTGCCTAATGAGTATTGGATACAGAATGAATGGGACGTACAAGCAGTGATGGGAACAGTTTACATGCGTGTGTAGTATGAGTATTCCAGACCGCTGCAGAGTCACTCACCCAAAGCTGAAGGACTGAAATCCAGCCACTTACGGTGCTCAGAGGTCAGTAACTCTGGCAGGATTCAGAGGGAAGAGATCTCTGCACCTCACAGTGTCAGCTGGGCTGACTTGAAATCCAGGGTGAACTGGGAGGCCAGTGTCTGGAACCACCGGAAGCGGGCAGCAGTTGGTTGGGACCTGGAATATCACTGGAAGCTGCTCAGATTGTTTAGAGCCTGCTGTTTGCATTTAAGCAAGCAGAGCCAAACTCATGGGGGGTTTAGGCCTCAGCCTTGTAGACCATGCGGAATCATTCCCATGAGCCAGGTAGTCACAAGGCCGGTCTGATTTCAAGGGAGAGGAATCTAGCAACCAACATATGAAAGGAAATAGTAACGTTAAGGGCATGTGGGATGGGAGATGTTGGCGTGGCCAGTTTTGGAAAATACAAAGTGCCGTAATTTCCTATATATAAATATATATTTTTACCCATAAAGTGCTCTTTGAGTCACTAGGTAACTTTATTTATTTATTTATTTGGTTCCTGGGATCGAACTCAGGACCGTGAGCTTGCGAGGCAGGTGGTGGCACCATCGAGAATCATCCCGGGCCCCACTAGGTAACTCTAGAAAATAGTTTAAAATGAAATTCACCCTGCTAAAGAAATTCTTCCTCATCTAATAGACACATTTATTAGTCACTTTCTTTGCTTTTTTTTTTTTTTTTTTTTTTTTTTTTTTTTTTTTTTTTTTTTTTTTTTTTTTTTTTTTTTTTGCCACCATGCCTGGCTGTTAGTCATTTTCTAAATAATTACTTTATAGGAAATGAATCCAGAGATTAACTGTGTAATTTGTTTATCTTATATGGAATAATTTAGAAATAAGCTTTTAAAATAGGGAGGAAAAATGTCTCTGTGTACCCAACTTTAACCCCTAGTGCCTAGCAAACATCTGTCAAAATCGGCGATGTAGCTCAATGGTTTCACTGTCTGCCTCGCAAGCACAAGGCCCTGAGTTCAATCCCCAGTGTCAAAAAAAAAAAAAAAAATCTGTCATATAGGGGAGTTCTCCATAATGCTACATAAAGGAATACGCTAATACCTGAGATGTATTTTTCAGTCATTTCAAAAAGTTATTGTGCTCTGCCCGGTGTGGTGGCGCACGCCTGTAATCTCAGCACTCAGGAGGCTGAGGCAGGAGGATTGCTGAGAACTTGAGGCCAGCCTTGGCTACATAGTGAGTTCAGGACCAGCCTGAACTACATAGTGAGACCCTATCTCAAAAAGCAAACAAACAAATCTGAAAATCTAAACTGTTCTTTTTCATCTATCCTTGACTTTAAAAATTGAATTGCTTTATGAAAAATAGTAAAACCTACTGTGATTTTATTGGACCCACCCACCTTAAAATAATGTATTGAGCTCAATATCAAAACAAAGAGATACCTATTCCATAAAGATGAACAGATTACCTTTGTATATATTGTAGTGTCTTCTTTTTTTTTTTTTTTTTTTTTTTTTTTTTTTGAGACAGGGTCTCACTGTGTAGTTGAGACTAAACTGGAACTCACTAAGTAGCCCAGGCTGGTATCAGTGATCCTCCTGCCTCAGCCTCCCCAGTGCTGGGATTACAGGCATGCACCACCATACCCTGCTGTAGTGTCCTTTTTTAAAAGAAAAAGAAAAAAAAAAGAGTAATGTTAGAAATAGTTTTATTCAGGTAACACGAATCCCTTGAGAGACCTGACTATACTATCTCTTTGTATCCTAGAAGCTGGAGGGAGCGGGCCACACGAGCTCAGAATCCGAGGTGATATACATGGGTTTGTCGTACATGTTTAGGAATGTTGCCGGGTCCATGAATTCTTCAGATTTGCAGAGATACTTTATGATCTGTTCTGGGGGGAGCAGGTCAGGCGCAGTCTGGTACAAGCTATCACCTGGTCCTTTAGTGCCCACTTTGACAGTCTTAAAAAGGTAGAGTGCCAGCTTATGAGTCTGGATGAAAAAATCCGTGACGACCTCTTCCAGAGACTGGGACTGTGTCATGTCGTCAAGATACAGGACTGGCACTTTCACCACCGAAACACACCACTGCATGAAGAGTCTCGTGGGGATGTTGTGAGAAATGACTACAATTTTCATTTTTTGAACCCAAAATTCTGTTTCACCCCTTTCATGGTTGAAATAATCTAAGAGGATTTGGTGAAGAGTTCCGCTGGAGGATTCGAGGATATGCAGCACGGAAGTGGGGTAGATGAGCAATAACCCTGTCACGGCCTCGCCTAGGTGATGTTTCAAGATCGACTGAAACACCTGATCATGGTACTCAGCAATTTCTTTTTTCTCCATGTTCGCTTGTATGTTGGCCACCAGAAACATCCTGTGAAGGAGGAATTTCTTCAGCTGCAGTCTTTGTTTCTCTTCCAGAAGGTGCAGGTAATTGCCACGGGGCACCTGTGGCCTCAGAAGAGCTGCCAGTGGGAAAGATCTTTCGTTGCTCTTCCAACTATGGGCTGTGAAGGCCATGCTTACTGATTCTTTAGATGATTCTGATTTTTAGCAGTCACAATAATTACACTATCAGGAGACCTCTTGAGTGGTGAATTCTTATTTTTATTCCTTCTAACAAAAAAGAGCAGATAACAGTTTTGTCAAATGTTACTGAATAGCAAAAAATCCCTTCCCAGTATTATCAGCAAATGTTATTAAAAGGAATGCTAAAACAAGACAAACTGTAGAGGTTGTTTTCAGGGTAGCAATGAAATTACTTTCATATCCTAAGAAAAACTCTCCAAATGTAATGTCGTGGTCATTAAAGACTTTCAAGTTTCTCAGCACTCTGGAGGCTGAGGCAGGAGGATTGCTTTGAGTTTGAGGCCATCCTAGGTGACATAGTGAGTTCAGGACCCGCCTGAACTACAAAAGGAGACCCTGGCTTAAGACAAACAAACAAAACCAAACAAATAAGATTTTCAAGTTTCTAAAAAATACTATCTGAGAATTCTTCCAATTTCTTTTATAGATTTGACTGGTCTATATAATTTTAAAATCTGGGGCATTCTAAGCTTCATTATCATATTTAAATTTGTTTGGGACACTAAAAGTTGATAGTGTTGTGTGGATAATAACAATAAACTCTTTGGAAGAAAAATGTTTTTTCTCTTATCAACAAATCTCTTTTTAGGCCGGGGATTTAGTTCAGTCCTGCCGCTGCCTGCCGTGCAAGGACGAGGTCCTGAGCTTGATCCCCGCTACCCCCCACCCCCAAAAAAGAGTACAAAACCAAATCTTTTTGTGTTGATTTTTGTTGTTGTTGTTGTTTTTGAAACAGGGTCTCACTATGTAGTTCAGACTGCTCTGGAACTCACTGTGTAGCCCAGGCTGGTCTCGAACTCACAGCGATCCTCCTGCCTCGGCCTCCCAAGTGCTGGGATTACAGGCATGCACCACCACACCTGGCTTTTGTGTTGATTTTTTAAGGTTTAAATAAAAAATATTCTGAAAACAAAATTCTGCCACTTTAATTTAATTTTCTTATAAATCTCCTCCCGATCAATTTAATATCTCTCTCTCTCTTCAAGTGCTCTGGTCTTGTACCTGGGGTCCTGCTTGCTTGTCCTCCATGAGGCTTTCAACTGCCAGAGCTCTGGGCCTTCTGCCTTCCTTCCGGGTTCTACCTGGGAGGAAGGAGTCGGAATGGCTGTGGCATTAAAGGGCCAGAGTGCACTTGTAACTCCCGTCTCTCAATTTACTGAGCTGTGACAACCACCTCACACCACTGTGGAGGACATGAGGTATTGGCCAGGTGCCTTTGTAAGTCAACACGTGGTGGACCTGGGCATTTTCTTTTTCACTTTGGCCAATAAAAAGTGTGGTTGTAGAGCTCGTGTCCTGTACTTATGCACCGTGCTGGACCACAAGGACACATACCTGTGTCTGTGTAATGTTGCATCTGAGAAAGCTCTACACTGGAATTTGAGTTACTCAATGTGAACTTCCATTCATTTTCTTAACTTCTGTTAATTTTAGAAAACAATAATATAATTTTGACATTACAGTCACATGTGCTCTAAATAATTTTAAAGCAATAAAGTTGGAAAAGACTCTTATTTAATTAAAAAATTAAAATTTAGAGTTCTAGGGCCAGGGATTTAGCGCAGTGATTCAGTGGCCTGCCTTGCAAGTACAAGGACCGGAGTTCAATCCCCGGTACCAAAAAATAAATAAATAAAAATTTGGAGTTCTTTCTTTCTCCTGAGGTTTTTCAAACTAATGAGTAGATTTTAATAATATCCCAGAAAGTAATTTAATAATTCTTTCATCGTGGGTCACGGGTTTAGCTCAGAGGCACTGCACCTGCCTCACAAGTGCAGGGTCTCAAGGGTGAACCCCGGTGCCAAAAAAAAAAATAATAATTCTTTAATTGTATGATACATAAAAATCAACTATAATTCCTCACCGTGATTCACATTATCATTCCCTGAAACCACAAGATCTCTCCCAAAGTGTTAACCTCACAGCCTTGTTCTCATCTTCACCGTAGAATGTAATGATTTCAACACCGAAAGCCTTTTCACTTGGACTCGTCCTGGGATGGAGCTGTGTTCAAGATGCTGGTCAGGTCTGGGACCGTCTGTCCTGTTTCTACTTAAACATTTGCAAATTGGGAGTCCCTGGGCCTGGCCAAGCAGGACGTCGGTCACCTCAGCTCTGGAGCCTCCTCTTCAGAAGCATCGGGCCCGGGCACAGAGAGCAGCAGCCCTGAGCATCCTCTTCCATCGGGCAGTGCATAGCCACGAGGTGCCACGAAGACCCAGGTGGCTGCCTCTGTGTGTGCTCATCCCACGGGCTGCGGAGGACAGAGCCGGGGTCCCACCATCTCCCAGAGAGGGACCCATGTCTCCTCGTCTTCCTGCCTGCAGCACCCTGGATGCTCCAAAAGTGAGTCTGTGGGTGGGACAGGCTCCCAGCAAGCTCGGTCAGGATGGCCAGGGACAAAGGACATGGATTGTCTTTTGGACAGCTAGAGGGAGGAGCCCTGGTTGGTGGCTACTCTGGGGGACGGGTGAGCGGAAGGCGGGTCACAGTCTGTGTGTGCACCTTGTCTCACTGACAGGACCCTAGCAGGTTCATCCACTGAACTGAGAAGGTCACGTGGTGGGTGGGCCTGGAGGAGGACTCCTGCTCCCCTCTTGTGGAGGACGGGGATGCTCCAGCGCACAGGAGGAAGGTGTGTGGCAGTGGGCCAGGGGTCTGCACTCAGGAAAAGGCCCAGGCACCCACTTGCTCTGGACAGAGAAGGAAAGCCAGGTTGGTCCCCGTCAGGAGCTCTCTCAGTGCTTACTCTGTGGTGTCTTTGTTATTTTATTTTATTTTGGGGGGGGTGGTACCGGGTAATGAACTCAGGTCCTTGCTCTTGCAAGGCAGGCCACAGAACCACTGAGCTAAATCCCCGGCCCTGTTATTTTATTAACTTTAGAAACTGGGTCCTGTTTTTCCTGCTGGGAGGTGGCTTCACGTGAACATCAATAAATCAATGCCTCCTGTCAGGACACTGGCATTGGATCTGTTTGTAAGGAGCTGTCCCCTCCTGTGACTCCCGGGGTCTCCTGGGTAATGTGTGCCCTGGACACGGGAGGGACTGAATGATCGCCCTCCTCCTCGTCTCTGAACTTGTTTCTCTTCTATCTTTCCTTCCTCCCTCCCTCCTTCCCTCCCCGCCCCTCCCTCCCCCTACTTCTTTTGCTGTTGTGTTTTGAGACAGGGTCTCATTATGTGGTTCAGACCAGCCTTGAATTCACCATGTAGCCCAGGCTGGCATCCAACTCATGACTCCAGATCTGTGCTGGATGCAAGTACCAGCAGGCTGCAGGATTAGGGCGAGGGCACAATCCCATGACTTTCAGATACCAGAACAACTCAGGCTGAGCCTGGCTTCTGTCCATGGGGGCCGGGCCTGTGTCCTTCAAACCCTCAAGGGTCTTTTTCCAGCCTGATCGTGGTTCCCTGGCCACAGCTGTCTCCTGTGACTGTCTCTCACCCAGTCACTGTGGGAACATAACACTGGGAGCCCTGAAGTGAAGGTGTCCCACACTTGTTCTGAGTGCTGGGTTCAAACAATCAGCCTTCCCAAGAATGACCTTAGATCAAGCACACTCTCCAGGAATAAGGCAGGTACTGGAGTTACTCACCAGCTATTGCCTGTCAAAGGAATCACATTGGAGCAGAATCCTGTGCTTTCCTTGCCGTTCCCAGCACTGACCAGCCATTCCACCACTGTGTTCTCCCTGAAGCCCTCTAGAGCCCCCAGTTTCACTTTGTTTCTGTAGATTTAGTCTCTCCTGTTCATGGGCCACAAGCCAGGAGCGTGGGCGAAAGTGCAGACCTTTCCCTTCTCCACGTTGTGTTCTGCCTCTTCAAATTCTCTGCGGTTTTTTGTTTGTTTGTTTGTTTTTATTTTTTGAGACAGGGTCTTACTATGTAGTTGAGACTAAACTGGAACTCACTATGTAGCCCAGGTTGGTCTCAAACTCACAGCGATCCTACTGCTTCAGCCTCCCGACAGCTGGGATTACAGGGGCTACACGCCCAGCTCTCTGCAGGTTTTAATTTTCCTGCCAGATCCTTCCTGGTTCCTGAAGATCTCTCTCTCTTTCTCTTTCTCTCTCTCTCTCTCT